AAGCTAGTCTCACTTCTAAACTGATCAAACAAAGATCAAGAAAGGACAAACATATATCTCAAAGAACGCCTCCCAATGGATTTGATTTTGATCCTAATCCGATTAGCATGACATGAATTAATATTTTTTTATCAATAATTTAAAATTGAATTCAAAATTTTATATTTTATAGGTTCGAATTTAGATATACTTATATTTAATCCGAATTATTTATATATTTTTATATACATATTAAAGAAATTTAGTTAATTACCTTATTCGGATCGGATCAACTTTTTTGAATTTCAATTATCACGAATTCGATATAGACCAGAAATGAAATCTGTCAAATTATTAGATCAAATTTGAATCGATGTTTTGAAATTGAATTCAAATCTAAACTCGATCAATTGATAAGTCTAGCTCTAAGTGATTTGAATTGAGAAGGCTTATTTTTTTTGGTTTGACACATAAAAACAGTCCTCATTGAGATCTTAGCTCATAATCATGCACCTAACGGCACATATACCTTCAGAAAACTTGTGGCTGTGTTCCAAAAAAGCACTGTAGCGAACGTCCATGGTGGCATCGACACTGACCCAACATTAACCTTTCGCGTTGACGGTTCCACTGACCTATCAAATTTTGACAACGAAGTACTACACCCATCCATCTATAATTCCAAGATATTTTAATTCAACTTACAAGTCACTCCTCCCTTCCGTAACTCAGACTTGGAGACAAAAACAGCAATTATGAAGAACTTGAGAGGTATTCTAAAAAGCCCCAAGGCTGGTGGAAATTAATTTGGGTAAGCTTTTTAACACAGTATTCAGGTACTGTATTGGTATCAAATATTGTATTATACTAATAAGTTCTCTGCCAATCCTGAACTGATGATTGAAACTTCTGTTTGGATTCTTTAATTATAGAATTATTTTTTATTATTTTTTCTTAAAATGGCTTTATGTTTTGTCCACTTTAATTAAAGAACATTNTATGTCATTGGAGTAAATTTATAATTCAGAAATATCAAAATACTGCTCAATATTACAAATGAATGATTTGACACCCCAAAATGACAACTCCCTTTGGAGTTACTCTTAGAAAAGAGTTACAGAGGAATAAAATTGTCCACCCAAACTCTTGAAAAACAAGCTTCACAAGAAGCATTCACCGAAGCAATAAGCTAGTCTCACTTCTAAACTGATCAAACAAAGATCAAGAAAGGACAAACATATATCTCAAAGAACGCCTCCCAATGGATTTGATTTTGATCCTAATCCGATTAGCATGACATGAATTAATATTTTTTTATCAATAATTTAAAATTGAATTCANGTCAAAGTACGCCTCCCAATGGATTTGATTTTGATCCTAATCCGATTAGCATGAATTAATATTTTTTATCAATAATTTAAAACTGAATTCAAAATTTTATATTTTACAGGTTCGAATTTAGATATACTTATATTTAATCCGAATTATTTATATATTTTTATATACACATTAAAGAAATTTAGTTAATTACCTTATTGGGATCGGATCAACTTTTTTGAATTTCAATTATCACGAATTCGATATAGACTACAAATGAAATCTGTCAAATTATTAGATCAAATTTGAATCGATCTTTTGAAATCGAATTCGGATCTAAACTCGATCAATTGATAAGTCTAGCTCTAAGTGATTTGAATTGAGAAGGCTTATTTTTTTTGGTTTGACACATAAAAACAGTCCTCATTGAGATCTTAGCTCATAATCATGCACCTAACGGCACATATACCCTTCAGAAAACTCGTGGCTGTGTTCCAAAAAAGCACTGTAGCGAACGTCCACGGTGGCATCGACACTGACCCAACACTAACCTTTCGCGTTGACGGTTCCACTGACCTATCAAATTTTGACAACGAAGTACTACACCCATCCATCTATAATTCCAAGATATTTTAATTCAACTTACAAGTCACTCCTCCTTTCCGTAACTCAGACTTGGAGACAAAAACAGCAATTATGAAGAACTTGAGAGGTATTCTAAAAAGCCCCAAGGCTGGTGGAAATTAATTTGGGTAAGCTGTTTTAACACAGTATTCAGGTACTGTATTGGTATCAAATATTGTATAATACTAATAAGTTCTCTGCCAATCCTGAACTGATGATTGAAACTTCTGTTTGGATTCTTTAATTATAGAATTATTGTTTATTATTTTTTCTTAAAATGGCTTTATGTTTTGTCCACTTTAATTAAAGAACATTAAACTTAGTACATTCCCACGCATGCATCATTATATATATTATCTTACTCATTCCACTGTCATTTTGTTTGGCCCATCTAAATTCAAACAAAATGGCTGGACTTCCCTTCCCTTCCCCCAAAATTATACCCTTAAATAAACTGTAATTCTTGATGAAAACCTAAATAAAATTACACTAGTCAGATACAGTAGCTTATGCCTAGAATGGTCTCTAATATTTTGCTTAAAACTTTTAAAAAAATTAAAGAACACAACAGCAACAGAATGTTGGGCCTTTTGGGTTGGTTGGTAATTAAGCCGAGTTACTCGGGTTCGGTTTAAATAGGACTTGACTTAAGTTCTGCTCAATGTTACTTAAATAGTGGATCGCTTTGGTACGTGATATAAATACGGATACATGATACGACACTTTCTCGGGTACGCGATACAATGGGAGTAAGTTAACTGGTACGATATTTTGGGTCGTAATTCGTTTTGGAACTCTTATGTAGATCGTTTTCATTACTACACAATATTATATATTACAAAACATTCATAAACACTAAGTTAGTTATTATTTATCTTATAATTGTAGTTAATTTTCAATTATCTAAAATAATATATAATTATAAATTTATATACATTTAGTCAATTAATATGCATTTTATATTTGTGCTACATATTCTAAAACGAATTGATTTAGAGTTAGTATTATAATTTGGGGTCGTCCATTTTGGTGATCTAGATCACGAACTTACCTCGTTTGGGATCGATGTACAAAGATCGTGGGTCGTTAAGGGTTTAGTGAATTGTGGTAACCATGGTTCGGCTCGCGTTCTAAATGATTCGAGCTTGAATAATCTTTTAGACTCGTTTAGATAACAAGCCTAAAAAGATTCGACTCAAACTCGTAAAACTCAACTTGTTTATATGTATAATAATCGAGTTACTCAGACTCGACTTAAGTTCAAATTGTTTTGGGCTCGAACTCAGCTCGGCTCATTTTCTAAATGAACCGAGCTTAAACAGTTTTTTAACCTCATTTAGAAAAACGAGTTCAAAGACTCGAATCGATTATCAGCCCTACCTTTGAGTTCTAAGGTGTGTAAAATTCTCCAACTCAACTCAACACAACACAACAAAACCTTGTATCAATCTTTGAGGTCGATCACATGAATCTTATCATTCCATGGTACTCCATCAATCACCGGTTGCGGAAAATTCTCCTAGATATAAATCATTCGACATAATATCCTACAAATTTGTGAAATCAAATATTATTCAGCATGATGTCCTACAAATTTATGCAGATCTCTTTTGTTCTCCGAGTGGTTGTTTTCAGCAATAAAGAAGTACCAGCAACAATTAATCACTTGTCGCCTTCTCACTGGAAGCCAAGTGCATGTATTTCCCTTCTTTCATACAAAAAAATTCCAGCTACACTCAGATTTTATTATTAAGCACAGAGATTTGCAGGGTAGGGGACCATGAACTGCTGGCCAATTACCTAAATTTTGAGGTGTCCATCTGTTTATTCCTCCATAATTGAGCTTGTGTTCCTCTCATTTGTTTGCCTGCCATGGCTGATTGATTCCTCACTCTCCTGCAGCTGAACTCCCCTTAGCTATGGCTGCCTTTCCTAATTCACCCACTTAAATATGGCTACCTTATATTCCCTGACAAACCTGGCCTTAATGCTAAAATGATCTGGGGTTCCCATGGTGCAAATCAAAAAAACAACCCCCATTCCCTACCACAAGGTTCCAAAATATCACCCAATATCGATACGACTCGGTCGGAACGATATTCGACTTGACACCTTGCAATTCAATAAAATTCCATGTTCCGTGTAAACCACAAGTCTCATGCAACTCAAGCCAAGTTGTTCGTGATTTCTTCAAGTCAATCCCAAGTCATCATCGCCAAATCCAGCGATAACGTTCTGTAACAGAACAATATGCTTTGAATCTCTTGTCATGTTCAACTTCATTGTTGTGGTTTGCCCTATACCAATCCGTAACGCTACAATTGATGGGTTGTCCTCATATAACCGATACCATAAACTTCAACTATGGTTTTTTTTTTTTTTTTTTTGGGGGTGCGGGGACCTAATTTCTGTTTCGGAGGTGCCATATCCTCTTAACTCATAGGGTCATAAGGAGAAGTCATATTCCTCTGCTTCAAGTAATTGGGCTTCAATAAGAGCATTAAACTCCTGGAAATAGGGTAGGTAGGCATTCAAGATCTCATACTAAATAGGGCTCTCCAAAACTCTCATAAGATCTCTCCAATTTATACCCAAGAGGCTAACTCAGAACAACTATAAATAGTAAATGAAACTTAACATGATCTGGGTACCTATCTTTTGAAACTTGGTAAGTCTTGGAAATACACAAGATTGTGAAATCAGCTACTAGCCTACTACTATTATTTAACGCTTCTCTAACCACAGCTACTGTTCATGGAAAGAGACATCTTCTCCTCCTATGCTCCCCAAAATCCGAGCAGCAATAGAGATGTATATGATCAGTTACTCCTTCAATTCTTTTTGCGGGTTCAAAGAAGTTGTCAAGGCATGTGCTGTTTCCATTGGAATGCAGTAAAGTATCAATTAAACAGAGAGAAAGCTCTCTCTTTCATCCACATGAAAAATTGACCATTTCTAAATCAGAGGGAAATACCCTGTCTGTTCCTCTCAATCTCTTTTTTACTTTTGCCTGTTTAATTTGAGAAATCAAAACAAACATCAAATCATTGTCACTATGCAATTAGTTACCAAAAACTCGGGTCAAATTATCTGGCCTTTCTCCATCTAGTATTGCATTTCTATGAGAAACCAGTGCCAGATTTGGGATCACAGATCTGTTTTAAGTAGTGGAAATAAGTGAACTTGATCATAACATAATAGTACTTTCTCATAGTCCTAACTCAGGAACTGAAAAATTAAGCAAACAGTCGCAACATCAAAGTCTAGCAACAAAACACAAAGCAACCCACAGAGACTCAAAAAGTTGAGCTGTGATAGCCCACTCGAATTTGAAAGCAAAATTAAAGCATAGACAGTAAAATTGAATAGCAAACCGCAATCAGAAAACCTGAAACAGACTCAGAATTCTTCTTCCACGCGGTAGTGGCCACTGGATAAATTGACTGAAAACTCTCCCCCCTTGCTTGACTCAATCCAATTAACAGCTCCAACGTCAGCAAACTGCCTGTTCTTGGTTGCTCTTGCAGACTACGTACGGATTATTTCCTGCAAAACGGGTTCAATGTAACAGTAGATTTGCAGTGGGAAAATTACATATTGCTGTGGAATAATCACAGAACACTGAATAATAATAGAAAATTAAACGAATTTGGGCAATGGGTATCGAAGAGTTCACCTTTTAGCTAGAGAGAGGGAGAAAGTTTCAGTTTTGAGCTAAATCAATGGCGAGAATCGGAGGAAGCAGAGGACGGCTTGTCGGAAATGCCGTCGTGTTCCTCTTCTTCACCTTGGATTCGTGCTGGAATACGAAAATCGGAGAATCCGCCTACTCCAGAGGCAAATCCAATGCCAGACATTGAAGATGGATGGATGGGTAGTACTGTTTGATATTGCCGATGATGATCAGAGTTGCTGATAGCAATGGCGGACGGGTCCATCCAAGCACGAACCCAAGGTGTGTTACTGGACTGAAGGGGTCCCCTCTGATAATACTGCTGTGTTTGGCCGAACAACGGCGGCGTTGGTGGTGAATTGAAGATAAATCCTCCACCACCACCACCACTAGCAGTGTCTCCACCACCATTCCAAGCCACCATTCTCTGGGTCTCGGACCAATTTGCCCCATCAAACACAAGTGGGGTTGTTCCAGAGAAAAGTGCTTGTTCACTGTGATTTGTGGAATGCTGATGCTGAGTTTGTTGGTTATGGTGGTGGAGAAAAGTGGGATCTTGAAAAGACTGAAGAGAGAGCCTCAGATCTTGGCTCTGATTCCTGGGTCTTGATAGCAAATTGCAATCCGGTGGTGGAAAGCCATGAAACTGAATTGCAGACGAATTGGTCTCCGTTGAAGTAACCATTGGGAAGAAAGACTTAATAGTATCAGCAATGGCATCAGAATCCAAAGATGGTGGCAAAAAACTCGAGCTGTTCTCGTCGCCTGCGTTGCTAGAAGGACCGGTAATGGTATCCACCACATCGCGGTGGAGGATACGAAGCTGCTGAAAATGATCTTCTTGCTGATTTTGACCTTGGTTTTGGTCAATATTCGGAGTTGCTATTGAAGCAGTAATGGGATTCCATGCGGGTAGCTCCGCGAGCTCGTCTATGGCGGGTTTGGCCTTTTTGATGAGCCAATCCACGGCTTTGCTGGGGCGGTCGAAGCCAAGGCGGTCCTGGACGTCGTAGAATTGAATGGCGGTGTGGGCTGAGAGGCGGACTCGCCGGTCCCTCGGGCCTTTGGCGGTGCAGACTTTGCTGTGCCGGTCTTTGCGCCCGGTGGACCGAACAATGTGGCCTCCTTGAACTTCCACGATCTCGCCGCCGGAATTTCTTAGCCCCAATCTTGACGACGTTGCCCGGTGGTGGTGCTGGTGGTTGTGATGAGTTTCTTCCATTTTTTCTCCCAATTTAGCATATTCGTCGGCTGAGAAAGTAGGAAAGTTAGAGCGTTTCTTGGGTGGTTGTGATGGTGGCTGTGGTGGTGGTGATGATGAATCTAATCTTCCATACAAAAAATGCTCTCGCAGTTGGTTGTGGTGTCCAGGGAAGGTTTGTTGCTGTAATATTTCAAATGGGTATTGTTCTTCATCTTCCACTTGTTCTCCTTCCTCTTCTACATGTCTCGAAGGTGGAGCCTGTTGGTTCTGATGATGATGATTACTAAGAGGATCCAGACTCAGACCCTTGTTGTGCTTTTCCTGTTCCAGCTTTTGATCAAGAAAACTTTTTTCTTAGTGGGTTTTGTCCTCACTATTCTCTCTCTCCTTCTGTACCTGCAACCACACTGAAACCTGATATAGCTGCCTCTGCTTCTCCCAAAAGGCACTGCCATTAAACCTCTCAAACTCCATCACCCTAATCTGAGAACCCAACTAGACCCAGAAGGCTAAACCAAAATTTAGCCTAACCCATCTGTAAGCTACTTAAAGACACAGCCTTTTGATGATAGGCTTCAATGAATAGTATGTACTAACCAACCTGAGCAATAATAATTAATAAACAGAACTGAAAATTTGGGTACTACCCAGTTGAACAAAGCACAACTAACGTCAAGATGAGTTCAAGTAAATTTCCTGCAATTCTTTCATATTTTCGAGAGAGAGAGAGAGAGAGAGAGAGGGGGTGGGGGGGAGGGGTTGAAGATGGTGTGGAACAGTAAATATAGTGAGTGTAAAGAAGAGGAAAACTACTGTCTTTGGCCTATAAAAGCCCTTGATGCCACTGGTACGGGTGGCAGTGTTTGGTCAGAAGGGAGATTAAAGATCTTTGTGATCTCATCACTGCCCTCTGCTGCTGCTGTTTTTGTACAGCCTACACAACACAAATACCAACCCAAAAACTCTTTCCTTTCATCCTCAACTAGTTGGAATTGTTGGCTCCTTCTCTCAACTCTCAACTCTCAACTCTCAACTCTCAACTCTCCATACAGTCGGTTGTTTTCATTTGGATAAGTTTCATTGACACCATCTAAATTTAAGTTATATTTAACTGACACTTCCTATAATTTCTGAAATATAATTGCACACCCCTGCCAGTTTGTGTCTGTTGACAGACCTAATAGAACTATAATACATAATTTTACTACATTATCCTAGAACTCTCATTTTGCAAGAGTATTATTCAATTTTACTCTTATATTACCATTATTAACATAATTGTATGAAATTAATATAAAATTAATTTATAATTTTATTAAATTAAAATCAAAGTGACCTTTAATTTTGTTTGATTAATATTTAATTTTATTCAATTAATATTTAATTTTATCAAATTAATGTCAAATTAATATTCATTTTCATGCACCAAATTAACATTAAATTTTATCAAATTAACATTAACATTCATCCAATTAGCATTCAATTTTATTAAACTAATACCAAATTAATATTGAATTTCATAAAATTAACACTAAATTAATATTCTATTTTATCATAATTACATTAAACTTCATCAAATCAATACAAGATTTACCAAATTAATGTGAAATTGATCTTAAATTTTATAGAATTATCATTTTATTTCAACAAACTAATATTCAATCTCACCAAATCAATATTCAAATTCATCAGATTAATATTTAATTTCATCAATTTAACATCCAATTTATCAAATTGACATAATTTTTTTTTATTGAATTTCAAATTAACATTCAATTTCATCTAATTTGTACCGAATGATCATTCAATTTTTTAAATTTAATATTTAGTTTTATCAAATTAACATTCTTTTTTAAAATTAATATTTTTTATCCATTTTTTTATAAGAAACAGTATGCTTAATCCAATTAATACTAAAAAGATATTTCCTACTACTTTAAAATTGTTTTATATGACTAAGGATAAATTTGACAGCTCACAAATGAGTAAATCATCGCATCACACATTTTTTGTTTGTCAATAACTATACTAGATGATATGGGTTGCTTCTGAAACGTATATATAAATTATCGAATGTGTAATGATATTTCAAAAATGAAAGAGAATGTCAGCGAAATATGACTTAAATTTAAGAAATGTCTGCGAAATTTATCCAATATTTTTTTCACTTCATAAATAAAATTATAAAAGTCAGAACCGTAGGTTATAGCTCCAGGAGTGCCCTTTGACGTGCCAAACCAACAACTTTTTCCATTGAGCCATAACTAATTTGGCATACCTCTCTCTCTCTCTACATGTCTTTGTTTCTCAATGAGTTGTTTTAAGGTTATTTAAAGTTTATACTTAAGAGTTAGAATTGTTTTAGTTATAGCGCAATGAGTGTTTGGATGGGATCCTTTTTATGTATGGAGGGATAGATCCTTCAAATGCCACCACTCCCCCATGTTGAAAGGGACCTCTTACAGCTTTTGTGGTTTTCTTAGCTTTCCCTCTCTCTTTCTTTAATGCCTCACTTAAAAGAAACAACATCATCCTTCCCAACCCAACCTTTTTGTGGTTGGTTGGGTTACTGTACATGGCATCTCATGAGCCAGACTTTCTAGTTTCTCTTCTTTTCTCGGAGAAACATCATTTAATGATTTTACACTGTTGTACTTGTGTTTGATATGTTAAATTACTCAACTGCCTCGCTGAGATTATTATTTGTATGAACTATACTAACTAATATTTCTTATAGAATACTATAAACCCAAAGATATTCTTTGGTAATTTTCTAGACATATATATCTAAGATAGGAAATAATTATGTGATTTTCATACATTTACCCTTACAAATTGCAAAACGTAGGGTTCGTCTGTTTGTGCTTATTTTGTGTCATTGCGGGTTTGTTAATTTTTGATGATGGAGAGTGACGGGGGAAGNTACAAATTGCAAAACGTAGGGTTCGTCTGTTTGTGCTTATTTTGTGTCATTGCGGGTTTGTTAATTTTTGATGATGGAGAGTGACGGGGGAAGGGGTAAAGGATGAATTTAGACTCAGGTTTTAAAACTTTTGATCCTAATTCAAGTCGAGCCCGACTTTCAATCAAAGTTTATTTAATTTGAGTATTGTCCAAGTTAATTTTAGGTTTAATTTGAGTTAACTAATTTGTTTCAAATCAGGCAAGGGCGGCTCAAGTCAATTTGTGGCCTAAAGCGAAAACAATAAATGAGGGTCTTTTTTTTTTTAGTATTAATTTTTAAAAAAAATTAATTTATTTTTAATTTTTTATGTAAGAGAGCGAGACAAAAAAAAGAATGTGTTAATATCGTCGAGAAAGAGATTTTAATTTTTGTTTTTGTTTTTATTTTTTTACCATAGAGAAAGTGCTTAATTTCAACTTTTATTTTTTATTTTTTTTTAAGAGAGAGAGAGAGGGAGTAAATATGAGTTAACTTTTGAATATTTTTTTTATTTTTAAATTTTTAATGTTATAGATTGGATTATAAGCCCAAATTATTACAATAAAATTTTTGATTGCATTTAATTTTTTTGAGACTTTTTTTGAAAAGCTTAAAATTTAATGGATTTTTTTTTTTTTTGTAAGCTAGTGATGTACCTAAAATTATGGAGCCTTCTAAAAATTTGGGGTCTAAAACCCAAATTTACTTATTCGAATTGAGTTCAATCGATCTTGTGAATCTGAAGTCTCAACTCGAGTATGACACAAATTCAATTCGATTTGAAGTTTTTCAATCCAAGTTTAAAAAATAAAAAAATTATAAGAAGCACACGAAATTAGAGTTATTGGTCAAAAATTACATAGTTCTTGATGTTAGATCATTAAATCCTTATTTTTAGAACTTATTTGTGTCCAAATACACAACTTGATTTTTTGTAATTTTCCTTTAACATATTTGTCCTTTAAATCATGCATATTTCTTTTGACGTATAAAAATCAAAATTAAAGATTTTGTATTATTCAAAATGGCTAAGATTTTGTTTTATTGTATTAAAAATTTCCTAATATAATGGAAGAATTATGTTATCACAAAATTTATATCTAACGTTGATTGCGTATATCTTAGCCATTTTGAATTTTAATTTTTTTTGTCATTATCCTTGTTATTAAACAAATCTCTTCTTCTTCTCCAAAATACCGGTCATTATCACTTGGAAAAAGTTCAAACATAACATCCTTCTTATTCTCCGACGTTCATTACATTATCAGGTTTGAATTTATGCATGCATTCAGTTTTTGTTTATTTTTTTTCCCTACTTGCTACTAGTAGTTATTTTTAAGGTTTTTTTTTTTTATACAGTTTTTCGTATTTGATCTAGGAGCACCGCATGGAGGGTGTTGTTTTGAGACATTATTTATTTTTGTTGGTTGTCCACCTATGCGCTAACATTACCGTTTATATATATATATATATATATATATTTTTCCAATTTTTGTTTTGATCTAGGAACACTACGTTGGACATTGGATAGTGCTTTTCGTATATTAGAACAGTGTTGCAATATAGTAAGAAATAAGTTTCAATGCTTTATTAACCTAAAAATCGGCGTCCATTTTAATCCAATTCGGATAAGGGTTAAAGAATTGTACGATTAGGTCATTTTTACATAACTTAAAAGTGTAGCAATACAATGTGTCAATAAAACAAACTAGTATTATAGATATTAAACATTTATGACCATTTAATGGTTTTAGGGATTTTAATTTTATTTTTAATCGTGTTGATTTTAATTAAAGTGGTTTGACCTTTAAGGTTCAAAGATTTAGCTTCAGGACATAAAGTATTCATGATTTTATAATAGACCCTATAAGTAAATACAATTATATATATGTCTTCTTTATAATTGTAACCAAAAGTTTTAATATTACATGTTAAAACATTCAAAATATTTTTATCTGTCAAAAATACAGAAATATTAGGAAAATAATTAATATATATATATACGTGACTAAACTAAATCTAATATAAAATTAAAATTCTTTAATTTTAATACTTTCTAAGATAAGATAATTAAAATTCCTTAATTTCAGTTGTCAAATTTTAAAAAGTTTTCAAAACTTACGACATATATTTCTAAGATAAAATAATTAAAATTTCTTAATTTTAGTTGTCAAATTGTTTTCAAAAATTTTAAAACAAATTCCTAAAAAAAGAAAATAAAATAAAAGAAAAGAAAGGGATGAGAAAGAGAGACACAGACATTTATGGGGAGGATTTACTATGAGTTTTGGTTTCAAAACTATTTTAGGCAATTATTATATATTAAAAGGGTATTCAAGAGTTTTTAAATCAGTAAATGATTTTTTTACAAAATACTTTCTACTATGAACTTATCCACCTGATAAGTTTAATTTGGGGTACCGATTTTTAAAAGACCTTTTAAAATTTTTAACTTAATCCTATTTTCTTTCGGGTTATGTTTGAGTTAACCTATCTAAGTTACACCCTTAGCCATGACCAATGAAGATGG